ATGATGCCACCTCATTAGATCAGTATTTTTTGATGACATATATAATCTTTGTAACCTTGGTTTTAGAGGGAAATGCCTTAGTACCTTGGCTACAATTTTCTTTTTCTTTCTCTTACTTGTATTTTTTGTATCATTCTTATTGAGTTTCCATCTAGAGGGACTACATTTTAAGCATTTATCATCATTAGCATGTTCTTTCCTAAAAAGCATACAATCATTGGGGCAAGCATGAATTTTTTCATATTTCAAGCCCAATCCCTCAATTAATTTTTTTGTCTCATTCAAAGAATGTGACAACTTTTCACCCTTAGGTAAGGCATCCTTCAATAGCCCAAGCAAAGCATTAAATGAATCATTACTCCACCCAAACAAACATTTCACATGATAAAGATGCAACACAAATGAAAGTTTACTAAATTTCTTGCATCCCGAGTATAGTTCTTCATTTGCATATTTCATTAACTGTTCAAACTTACTGACTTCTACATAAGCCTGATTCCTCTGTACGTTTGGCTCCACTCCATCACTTTCATCAATTTGAACATCCATGGGTTGAATAAAGCCTTCAAAGCATCATGAATCATTCCTACCACCTCATCACCCCTAAAAGCTTCTTGTCCTTTATTACTTTGTCGAATTAGATTTGACATGTCCATTGACTCCCCATGACAAAACCAAGTATCATATGATGGAATGATACCGTAAACTATGAGATGATTATATGCTTGTATCCTATTTACGTCATAGTGTAGAACACACTCTTTGCAAGGACAAAGAATTGTTTCCCCATCATCTTTGTTGGTAAAGGCATAGTCAAGAAAATTTTTAACACCATCCAAATATTCTTTGCTAACTCTATCATACGTCATCCATTCTCTATAGCTATTATTTTCCATAACTAATGACTAGGAGAAAAACAGAAAAATAAATCAGTTTTAGAAGAGAAATACATAACAATAACTATCCCAAGTAACTAACATTTTAAATCCAAAACACATTATAGACATAAGTTCCATCTCATAACAACAACTGGTAATATGGTTATATTATATAGGAAATGCATTCCAATCAAAAACAGAAAATTGAGAGAACATGTGCTTGTTCTTGATTTGTTAAATACATTCTAATCAAAAACAGTAACTAATATAGTTTTTCAGCTTAAAGTTGTGAAATGGTGAAAAAACATCTTCATGACTCCACAACTCATTTGAAAGCATGAATATGGTAACCAATTCAACTGGTATTAATGAGAATTTAGAAGACAAGCATGGAACAGAACTAATCAAGCCACATGGCCATTACCTAGACAAAGCAGCTTATAGAAGACAATTGAACCAACTAATTCATTTCAGTTGATTAGGGCTTCATTGATTTCATTTAGATAGCATAGGCACAAGTCACATTGTAATCAAGATCATTATAAAAAAAAATTAAAAAAATTTCCCTCTTAAAAGTTAATTTTGGAGTACAGCCCCATGAAGTCACCCCAGCCATGAGCAAAAAAGAAAAGGCTATTGCAAAGAATTAACAGTAGATGCACAGCAAAGCATCGTATGATTTTATCATACAAGCAAGAGTTAGTACACTTTCACATCCTAAAGAAAAGAAACACATAATCAGCAATAGCATGTGTGAAGTTATAATAGGATGTCAAATTCCCTTGTGCAATTGGTGCATGTAAATTATATCAGGTTTTTTTTTAATTTTTAATTCTTTTCATGTAAAGTGTTTGCAACTTCAAGGGAGCATCTATTGGTAACTTTGTGAAATATATGCCATGTCGTAACTGACTGGACCATATTTTTGGATTAGAGAATTAATTCACATGTCCAAATGTTGGACTTAGCTTCAACCTAATGTTTATTTAAAAAGAGTTATTTGTTGGGCTTGAGAAGCCCAATGTAGAAGACACAAAGAGAGATAGGAAATGAAATAGAATGATGGAGGAGGCAGAAAATGGAGCAAGTGAAGGAAACATTGAGAAATGGTTGCAGAGAAAGAGAGGAAGAACAGAGCATATCTGATGAGATAGATGGAGTGAATTCCTACAACCTCTTTTCCACAGGTCTCTTTCTAAGAAGCATAAAGTGCAGCAAGCTGCTGAAAGCCCCACAAAGCCCGATCGATATGGTCAACAACAGTGACGAATTAAACAAATCAAGATCCAAGCACTTCATATGCACCAATCCAACAACGATTAGTGCTATCAATGTTAACCCTAGCCCTGAGCCATTAACTAAATCATTTATATTGGATTCCAAATCAAACATGGCAAGAAAAGGAGATTAAACTAGACAAATAAACAAGGATTAGAGAGAGAGAGACGGTAAAACATGTACCGATTGGAGCTCTGGTGCAGAAAAGAATTGAATCTGTGAGAGTGAGGAAGAGAAATGGATACAGCGGCTAGCTTTTGATTTTGGCATTGATCGGGTGGTGTTTGCTTTGAGGATTTTTCCTTTTTTTTTCCCTTTTTTTTTTGCGCGTTGCTAAGACGGTTCAAAAAGGAGAGGGGAGAAGAGGAAAGAGATTAGCAAGGGTATTTACGATTTTGTATTTTGTAAGAATTTGGGCTGACGGGTCGAAGTTGGTGTTTTGAAGTCAACTCGCCCCGCTCCGATCCGCTTAGACGTGGGCCAGGGCATGTGGGATGGAGGAATAGAATAATCGAGAGAGTGATAAGAGGAGGCAACACGGCAAGAAATATTATAATTTAGATCATGGATTAATCTATCCTTCTCTTTTCACCGCAGGTACTATTTGTTTATTATTAATTTTTGGATATGCAATCTTAATTAATCTTATAATAATATTATGTTTATAATAATTATTAATTAATAATTAATACATAACTGAAACATTAGATCATAAATTAATTTAGAACAATTATTTTTTAAAGTGTAATAATTTGTTCAAACTCAAGACTAACTTGGAGAGAATGACAAAAATATTTAAAAAATAAATTTTTATCTTTCTTTTTTTATTTTTTATATTCTAATTTTATATTAGGAGGAAAATTAAATAAACTTTCATCTTTTATAATTTGACAATTATATAACTTTTTAGTGGCCACTAGTTATAATTGCTATTAAGAACAAAAAAATAGTGGCCAATCATATAATTACCATTAAATAATATAATTTTATACAAAGTAATAGCAATCATTTAATTGCTTTTAATTAATTGCTACTAAATATAATTTTTGTTGTAGTGATCCTATAAAACTAGGTGGCCCTAATAATACTAATATCACCTTAATCGTTACTAAGAATTGTTGAAAGTTTTGGATCACGAGATGGCACATTCCCTGAATCAGGGATAGCATATTCTTAAACCGGATTATCCACCCCCTCCTCTAATTCTAATGCCATTCTCACCTTTTACACCAGAAAATGATATTCTACTTGTATGATCACTGTCCACATCCCTATGGAAGGCCGACCATGACGTGTAATGGTCAAAGAATTTGTTCAAACAAGCAAATTTCCTTTTGTATTCTAATTAGAAAAAATATATTAAGCCATTTAATGAATAAACAAATAATTGATGATGCCCATCCACCTGTCATCAACCATTTGAAACTTTTGTCTATACTATTGGTCGTATTTTTTTCTTGTTTTGGTGATTACAATGTCATAACCATTTACTTTACCACATGTTATCCTCTCTCTCTCTCTCCAAGTGAACAACTGTTATTAAAATTAAACAATTTACTAATCTAACTCTTGTGGTTAAAAATTTAGAACTTTAAGGGGTAAAATAAACATTTTTTTACTACTGAATGAGTATATTCAACAATTTATTTAATATTGTATCACATTTACTTAATAATAATCTCAACCACAGTTAAGTACGTGAGTATAAAAATGACACACATAATAATAATCGAGACGTTGTCTTGGTAAGTGTCTTAAATATAAATATAGATTCATTTAATAATAAACTTAAAATGAGGGCCGGCAGTGACGGATAATATAAAAATTTTAAAATAACAATAATCGAGACACTATCCTAGTAAGTGTATCAGATATGATAATGAAATCATTTCATAATAACTTTAAAGTGAGCGCCAGCGGTGGTGGACGATATAAAAATTTTAAAACGAAGAATATATAAAATGTTAAATCACGGATCTCCGGATCTGCGCAAGACAAGAGAGTTTTTTTTTTTTTTTTTATTAACAGGATGACAAGAAGTAGCGGACATGCTTATTTGTTACGGCAAATTGGACGATATTCTTGAATATACCCTTCCAAATTCCAACTAAAATGGGTTGCCATAAGATCATAAACTCACCTCATTGGCTCCATTTCACAGTATTTTTTAATCAATTGATTTTTATTCGGGAATTCATAATACCCATGTCGAAATATGCAATCCCCCTCTCTTGGTGGGATTATTAATTTCCTTCTTACGAAATTGTTTATACTTCATCAAATCGCATAAATCTAATATAAAAAAGTTCCAAATAAAATAATCCCATTATGATTTAATCTTCTTTTATTCTATTTTTTTGGGATTTGCTAATTAATTTAATCTTTTCAAAAACTTAAATTCTTTATTTGTAATATCAAAATTCTTAATCATTCATTTTCCAATCCTACAAACCAACGAAATTTCCAACTTTATGTACTTGAAAATATTTAAAGAAAATTAAATAATTGATTTTTTGTGTTAAATTAAATTGAAACTTGAGATCTAGGATTTGGAAAGTGGTCACTGTAACTTTTTTCATCACATGGCGCTGTTGGGCTTTATTTGTTTAATTAATAATAAATATTATATTTCTCTTAGATAAAATTTCAAGTTTAAGTCTTATATATACAAATACTTTTATAAGAGAACTTTACTATTATTATAGAATTTCAGTTAATTTAAAATAAATTAATCAGAGCCAGTAAATTTTTAGACAATGAAAATTTTGAAAAAGAAATATTTTATTTAATTAATGGCATGAGTCAAAAAGTAAATCTAGCCGTCTGTCTTCGGTTTTTATTTAGAGAGCTCCAAGGAGTCGCTCCTCCCGCCTTCGAGTGCAAATCGAGAATAATGGCGGAGGCACATACTATCGCCGGAGATTCGAGATGGTCTCTCGCCGGAATGACCGCTCTCGTCACCGGCGGCACTCGTGGCATCGGGTCTTATCTCTCTCTATCTTTCCTTTTCTCGATTCCTTCGTCCACGATTACTTATTGCTGTGCTTTTCTGCTTTATTGTTTAGAGGTTTTGACTTGTTAAAAATATGTGTTCAGGCATGCAATCGTCGAAGAATTAGCCGCATTAGGGGCGTCCGTCCACACCTGCTCCGGAACGAAACCGACCTCAATCGCTGCGTGCAGGAATGGACCGCCAAAGGCTTTGCCGTCACCGGTTCTGTCTGCGACGTGTCCTCTCGGCCAAATCGAGAGCAGTTGGTGCAGAAGGTTTCCTCTGTCTTCAACGGCAAGCTCGACATCCTCGTGCGTAACCCCAAGCTTCAATTCGTGCTGTGTGTTATAACAATTGTGCTACACAAAACCTAAATTTCGCGATCCCGATCTGACCAGATAAACAATGCCGGCACAAGCCTGTGGAAGCCAACCACGCAGTTCACTGCCGAAGATTACTCGATGATTATGGCTACTAACGTTGAATCTGTCTATAATTTGTGTCAACTTGCACATCCTCTCCTGAAAGCCTCTGCTCGTGGAAGCATTGTGTTGATTTCCTCTGTTGGTGGTTTGCTGCACACAGGTTCATCCCTATACGGAACGAGCAAAGGTGGGAGAACTATCCATCAATATATCTTCGTCTCAGTCGCAGAGAAATTGATTTATTTTGTGATGTTATCATTTTTTGGCGCATATTTGCTGCCGCTGACAGGTGCTGTGAATCAGCTGACGAAAAATTTGGCTTGTGAGTGGGCGAAAGATAAGATACGGTGCAACTGCGTTACGCCTTTCTACATCAGAACCCCACTCATAGAACCTGTAATGTTCTTCCTTGCTGATTTTTTACTTCAATCATAATGTAGCCTTTTGAACTTTTGGCTTTGTTTTCTGTTTTATCTTTCTTGTTTTTACTATAGCCTTTTTGGTTCTGTTTTAAGTTTTCATTTTCTCTTTATTGTTATTATTAGATTTTGAAAGTCGATTTTCATTTTCATGGGAGAAATAGTTTCTGAGAGTTCCGTAGTCAATTCCTTGCTTTCTAAGAAGCCTGCTTGGATTTCATGGGAAACCCATAAGCAAGGCCAATTAACTGGTATAGAATATTCTTTTAGCGGCAGCCGATCTGATAATGTATACGATCATATATACGTGTTTGAGTTACTTCAATTCTAGGCTTCTCATAGATGAAAAGTTAATTGAAAGTTTAATTTATATGAGTGGAAGGCAGGCACTGTCAAAAGAAAAAGGCATGCACCAAAAGCTATTGGCTATTTTACTCTAGAAAAGTCATTTGTCCAAAGTTCAGAAGCTCATTCATTTGGCTTTTTCAGGGAGCAAACCCCTTCCTTCCGATGACTGAGAGCACTTGCATCCGCTTTGAACAACTATTAAAGCTATTGGCTATTTTTACTCTAAAAAAGTCATTTGTCCAAAATTCAAAAGCTCATTCATTCGGCTTTTCAGGGTGCAAACCCCTTCACTCCCGACTGTGAGCACTTGCATCTGCATTCATGTTGGACAGCCATTCCCTTCTGATTCTGAATTCTGTTGCAGATGCTGGTTAAACAAGAGCTTCTGGAAAAGGTGAAAGCTAGAACCCCTCTCGAACGCCCTGGTGAGCCAAAAGAAGTATCGTCCCTGGTTGCGTTCCTCTGTATGCCGGCTTCATCTTACATCACCGGCCAGATTATCTCTGTTGACGGAGGAATGACTGCGTATGGTTTCTCACCATTTTAGGCAGAAAAGAGAAGGCTGGCTCATGGCGGAAAATGAAAGCCCAAATAAGTTTTTGTCATCCTACTTTTATCTGTGCGATTGTGAACTTTGAAAGAGGAAAAAAAAAATAAAACAAAAAGAGCAAATACAAAAGGCTCGTAGGGCTGCTGAGAATCTAGTGATGAATAGTGTATGTACCTCCAAGTTCCTTTCCCAGTTTTTGTGTGCTTGAAGTAGCGTCATTTAAGCAGTAAATTGAAGTGCATCGAAAGAGTCCAAAAAACGCTCAGTTTAATAAATGGAATTATTACTACTAGAATGGCCCTCTCGGTAGGGCGAAGAAAGTAGGACCCTTCAGGACGAGGTTATCTCTTTCAAATGCTTTGATAATGGGACAACAAGATCCATGAATGCTTAACTTTTGCACTTTTGAGTTTCAGAATTTTATCTTTAGGTCCTTATTTTTTATTCTTTTTGAAAATCATGTAAAACAAATTAAAATTTGATTATACAAATGACTTAATTTAATTAGGGTGGAAGTGGAGTATTTTCAAAGTGATTTCAAACGTCTAAAAAAGTTAAATTTTTTTTTTGCTGCGTAATAAAAAGAATTTCCGAAACAAAACCTTCGTACTATATTATCAAAATATTTGCTTCAAATTTATAATATTGTTATTAGAGGAAAATCAATTCCTTGTATTCATCAAGTTTTATTTGATTAACTACGTAAGACATTTTTAGATCTATCTATTTGCTGAATTATTTGGGCGCCAAAAATTAAAGCATTTAAGCCCAGAGCAATTTAAATATCACATCATGTACTCCGAAAAACAACTGGCCCATGTGGTCCACTAAAATTAGGGGTGAGCTCGGGCGGTTTTTGTATAAGATAAATCAATTAACTTAACCGTGAGCAGGTGACGAAAATGTTAAATGGCATCTGTAATATTATCGTTGCAAGTCACATAATTTCGAGTTGGTCAAGTGTGGATGGATTTGCTTGCGGATTGATAGGTTAGTTAAGGAGATGAGTTATTCAGGATATAAGTAGGTTATTATATGAACTTTTTATTTTGTACTAGATACCTTTCATTTATATACCAATGAAATCATTAAACTGAATTCACTTAAACCACCAACAAAAAAAGACTAGACTAGGATGTAAGAAAATTTTAATGGGCTAAAGTTAATTGGTTAATTTTATTTTTATAAAAAAGGGGCTAAAATATATGATTCAAGCCTCTATTAGGTGATATAGTTACTTCAGCTTTTACTACAAGAAAATGTAAAATTTTCAATGGAAAATTACTGATGGAAGTAAAATCGTCGAATTTGCGATGAAATTTTTGATGGAAATATTTTGTCGAAAACTTTTTCAACCGAATTTTCAACGAAAACAACTGTCGAAAAATTTTTCGACAGAATATTCTGTCAAAAAAATTTATCGAGAAAAATTCTGTTTGAAATGCAAAAAAATGTATCTAAAATTAAAAAAATAATCAAAAATAAATAAATATTTTTCCGATGGAAATTTTGCGACAGAAAATTCTGTCGGAAACTTTTCAATGGAAAATTCTGTCAGAATTCGTCCCAATCTTTTCAAAAAAAATTTCTGTTAAAAAGTTTTGACAGATTTTTCCATCAAAAAATTTCTACACACTCTACAATTTTGTAGACTTGTTAGGATTTGTAATTCTTTTCTGATAGAATTTCTGACCGAAATTTTTGTCAAAAATTTTGTACACTGACAATTTTGTAAACTTGTTGGGATTTGTAACTTTGTTCCAACAAAATTTTTGAT